ACTGGGGTCAGGGTCACATTTTCAGCTGACCTTGACCCCGCTGACCCCGACCCGACCACAGGGGTCACGACCCGACCCGACCCTACCCAACACTATTTCTGTTGTCAACATACATAAGCTGGACTGTACGGGCCTGAACGATCAGGAAGATTGTGGAAACCGAAAGCAACAGAGTGATGTACGCAAGGAGGAAGAGAGCTTTGCGACTCTGCTTTCTCCGATTCCAGAGGTACATAGCGCAAGAGTAATACAGCACTAATTGAATTCCTGCAATCTGTTCAGTAACATTCAATTATTATCCTTGAAAGATAAGTCACCATAGCCGACACCACACGCAACATCACCAGCAAGAAAGAAGCGCTCCAGCTGAATAGTCGATTGGGGTTCATTCGGGCCATAGTAGGAACTCATGTCCACTGGAAGCGCTTTTGTTGAGACGGTTGAGTCTACTTTGTAACTTTTATACATCTCGTGTCGGGGCTCAAAATCATGCAACAGCAGTACATACATCAAGTTGGATGATATTATTCTGCGTAGAACTATTGTAGAATATGCGTCCATCTACAAAGTTGGGATCCAAAATTGCCCGCAAAAGATTGAAAATCAGACATCAGACTTCTGAACTGAGGAGTGAACGATGATGTCCAGGTATACCTCCCTTTCTGAGGACAAATCTCTCATATTCGTGAAATCACACAGATATCATGGACAGCCTTGAATAACCAAATTTAGAAAATCATGCAATAGGAGCACATAAATCGCGTTGAATGATATTATTCTGCGTAGACTGTTGTAGAATATGCATCAGTCTACAAAGTTGGAATCCGAATTGCCTGCAAAAGATTGAAAATCAGACATCAGACTTCTGAACAACTGGGGAGTGAGATGGCTGAGTATTCCTCCTTTCTGAGGACAAATCTCTCATACTCGTGAAATCCCACAGATATCATGGACAGCCAATAAATCAAATTTTGTTGTGAACTTTTAGAGTTGCTGTCAAACACAGCATTCACTTGTCCTGTATAGTAGTATGTGGTTGTATGCATCTAAGACTCGCCAGTCTCAATGAGTGGGTAAGATGATCATTTTTGCAATTCGAAAAGGGTAACCTGCTCGGGAATATTTAACTTGACAACTAGACTTCGCGTCTGGACTCTGCGATGTGACATCAGCACTAAATAATGTGAGGCTCATTAGGGCTTAGGTAGTCATGAAAGTCTTCTAGGAAAGCTCGAAGCGGTCAAAGATATGTCACCGGCGCATCCACCAGGATTTCGCTTCATCTGAATTTTGTTCGGATGCTTCTATGTAAGTTCTTGCATTTTACATTTATTCAAAGTCATGCCAGCGCATTCCTGTGAGATGTAAGTGTGTTTTTATCCCTGATGATCATCGTATGTGTCATATCATTCAAGTGTCGCTTGAAGTCAAGATGGCAATGCGCTTGTGCACGTATTCAGTCAGGCAGTAGGATGCAAACCATGAGCCGCGGAGCCTCAGTGGGGGAATGGCACAAGTCACCACTTCCTGTTCGGACAGTTCAATTTTGACTTTGATCTCTCCTGAATCGGATTTTTCTATAACCGTGATACTGGTAAGTGACTTGACATTTCCGAAATGGGTTAAGCTTATTTTATTCGCTTAGATGGCTCGAAAGTGGGAGTCTGGGACATGGCTGGTGAATTACATACAAAGGATGATACATCTGTCCATTCGAATCAATCAGCAAAGTTGAAGATGAGGGGTTTTACTCACGCAGCTGCATAGTATCTAAAATCACTCCACCCTCTAGCCCGACCTACCCCCACCAGGCTTCGTGGTCGGGTGGGTAGGCTGGGACTCTAGGAGCAACACAACCATTTTCTCCAATCGGGTGGAGCCTTTCCAAGTTGACCTCGGTACGAGTGAGCAGATCTGTTTCGAGAGAGAGTGGCCTAGGGCACACATAAAGTTGGTCATAAAAGTGCCCTTGCGACTCTGTCTTTCTTGGTCACTGGCAACTGCCCATGTTGTTAAGTTGTATCCGAGTCATCACAACTTGAATGTAGCTGTAACATTCCTTATAACAGCATATGGCTATAAAGTGTTATTTTGGCTCATTCAGTGGTGTGACTAGTTGATGCTGTTTCATTCCAGTGTCTAAGACATGTAAAACTAATGTAGCATATATGTACATAAACAACCCAATGTGCATTAACTGCCTCTTCTCTCCGTCCATCACAACAACTCGAAATATGAGGCACTAAGTTCGCGTAACTCAGTGGATTAGAGTGTGAGATTGCAACTTGGAAAGAAATCTTGAAGTCGCGTGTTCGAATCACGCCGCGGACTTCTGTATGTGTTTTGTTTCTTTTACTTTTTCCATACATATCCTTTCTTGTTTCCTTTTTTCGACACCAAATAGCTGGGAGATAGACGATTTGCAAGGACTCTATACCTATTGTTTCCTCGATTGATTGACGACGCGACACACATGGACAGCGTTATGGTAAAAAAAAAACGCTTTTGGACTCTCTGGAAGACTTATCTCAAATCGTGTTCCCAAACGAAACCAGGTCAAATCAAATCGAAACTAGTTGTTGAAAACAGCTGAGTATAACACATACACACATACAATTATTTCCTTCATCTTTCATCTCAACTTCCAACTTCGAACAAGACACATCCTGCTATAACCGCACGAGAGTGCGATTACCTGGGGTACGACAGAGACTGGATGAGTGAAAAAAAAAGGAAAGTGGTAGAATAGAACTTGGCTTACACGGCAATGAGGGTCTTAAGTTGTCCGTTCTTGAAAGCGGCTTGGGTGGCGTCGTTGCCTAGAGAGAGAGAGAGAGAGAGAGAAAGAGATGAGAAGGGAGAGAGAGAGAGATAGATGAGAAGGCGAAGGAACATACCACCAATATGTTGTTTATCTAGCTCAAACCGTTAGGCAAATGATTTATAATTAAGGATGATGTGAATACGCACTAACGAAAATATTCGGAACGGTCCTTTGACCGGTCTTCTGTGCAAGGTATGCTTGGATCTCAGAGCCTTCGTCCATTTCGTCTAATCTGTCCCAGGAAGAATCAAGATTGAGTTAGTATTGAGGAAGAATTAGTAAAAAAAGAGAACACACTCGAGGATCTTGGTCGGCACATCCGGAAACTCTCGTTCGAAAAGCGTCTTGGAGGCTTTGCAGTAAGGGCACCAGCTCTTGGAGAATATTGTCACAGTGTTCTCGTCGATGGAGGACTGAGGGTTGTGTGCGCAGATAATGAGGTAAACGAATAGTGAACCCCGGGTCGATACGAGCGTACCTCAACAAGATCCTTGATAGCCATTATTCGGAGCTGATTGGGGGAGGGTTTAGATGACGAGGGTTGGGAAAGATCTAGGTATGATATGTTGGATAATGGGAGGGTGGAGACAAGGTTGTGAGGATGACTGAGCTTTTTGAAGGGTTTGCCCGAACTAGACTCGATGGTGTCATTGGGATTAGAGATTCACGTGGGGATTGGTAATAGTAATAATAATTGAAATTTGAGGATCGGGATTCCGATACGTCCATTCTCCCGTCCGTAAGTATGTACAATGAGTTGTTGCTGATTTTGGGGTACAGCGTCCACTTTTCACCTTATAATTACGTGATCTCAAAAATTCTAACAAAATGATTCAACCCGGGATCGAACCGGAGACCTTCTGTGTTACCATTGGAATGTAGGAAATATGCTTGCGATGTAAGACAGATGCGATAACCACTACGCCATTGAACCATGATGCATCTCATTTGAGTTTATAGCATGATGGTGGAGTAGAATTTGCTTACATCCTAAGTTCGTTCGCCGTACGTGTTGCAAACAATTGTTGTTCAGAAACGGAAATAATTATGTGGGCTGATCAGAAAAGAAAAGAGAAGTCTAGCATGAACTTGGCCACACCTTGTGTGGTCTCTCTCACCTGGGACCACGAACATGATTTGTGGAATGGAGGGCAAGACATCAAGACCCCAACCTTCAGCTTTACAGCCATACATAACGGAACTGACGGGGCAATAACCTGTATTTATAAGGAGTTCGGCCTTCTGGGACCAGGCGATACATGGGCAGAAGCATACAATGAATCTAATCTGATTCAAGAGTCCATTCTCTTTCGACCGCGTTCTGCTAGCCGACAAACTATTCCCCAAACGTTGCGCATCAACCATGTCAATCAACAACTCGCTGCTTTCTTTCTCCTCCACTGGTATTCTCCTTCCCCATAAACGAAAACAAGAATTCCGACGAAACCAAGGGTACGAAAGAACCAACCGAGAGTTCCGAGCCGGAACCACCGAAGATCAAAGAAGGAGCTGTATGATACCTTTGCATCCCCCTTCTCTTGCTCTTTTTTGAATCAGAGTTCGAGTTCATAGTCAAGGACAGGAGAGGGCTACGGCTAGTATCAGATGAAGATATTACCGAAGGAGCGCCGGTACGTTTGGTATTCCTAGAATGAGCGATTCGTGCGAGTGCACCATCGTCTTCGATGCGGAGTCGTTTGGACGGAGGAGGTCCGGGCATTTCCATTTCGGATTCGGAAGCAGGTATAGAAGCGCAATAAGAAGAGGAAGGAATGAAAGTAGAGGTAGACGAGACGGAATGTTTTTGTTTCTCCATATTATCTTCGTGGTCGGGAATTTGAGAATTCAGAGCCATTCCTGAATGCCACGACCTTGCTCGAGTCCAATTTTTTTTCGTTCGTTTTCGCTTGAGCGTCGAGTTAGAGGAGATGGAGACAGTAGTTACAGTCGTCGTCGTCGTCTCGTCGGTATTAACATCGGTGCCCGTGGACGCCAGAGGGGCTTCCATATCTAACGTTGTTGGCATGCCGGTCGAACTTCCAAGAGTCTCCACAAGCCCCGTCTCAGACCCTTCTTCATGCTCATTGACGATTTCTCGGTTTTGAACATGGCGAACACACTCCTCACTTACTTCTATTGAAGAAGTTGGCGACAACGATGAATGTCTCCTCAAAGGTGAAGGTTCGACATAGGTGGACGCGGAGGAGTCAGGAGAGTTAATAGACTCGTCAGCCAAAGAAGAGTCTGTCAAAAAATGACCCGCTTGAACATTCTCGCGTCTTGAATCAACACCCTCACTATCATCTTCGCTTCCCTGACCACACAAAAATCGCGGAATCCACGATGTGTGCGAATTCTGAAACTTTTGGTTTACTCCACGCGGGTTTCGAGATATGGGTAATTGCCGTGCAATGTCGTGTTCACGCCAGACAACGGAGGGGGTTGGTCCTGGGCAGGGTTGCGGAATAGGCGTAGAAGCATCTGTAGGTTGAGGATGAGGACGAGGAACATCTTCCGGAATGGCATCCGGATGTGTAGGTGAAGATGGAGGAGCCAACGTATCAGAAGAGCTGGAAGATGTGGTGGAGGCATACGAGGACTGTGGAGAGAGGGCGACAACCTTATTGCTCCCTCCGTTCCCATCCGCTTCGGCATCGGTCAGCTCAGATGATGATCCCCGCCTCTCAATCCCCGCCTCCTCATCCTCATTCAGACCAACAACATCATACGACTTGGGCAATATCTCGTCCATAGCGTCTCGAATCAGCTGGGATGGGACCGATATGAGGCTAGACTGAGACCCAGCATTATATATACCAGCGTCGTCTTCGAGGATCTCAGTATCGGTGTGCTCGAAGCCGTTCACCAGGTTGGGGCCATCGACGTCTGGTTCTGTGTCAGTGTCACTGCCGTCACCATCATCTTCGTTGGGGCTTTCGTGAACACCACTATGGCTGCTACTTTCGTCGACAATGATATCGGTGTAGCAATGAACAGTTTGGGAGCTAGAGAGCGCCATGGAATCACAAGTTGGCAAAGTTTGAGTGTGAAGGAAGCTTGACTCGGGTGAGTCAGACCCCGTCTTGACCTCGTGAGTGTCAGGATCGTCCCGGACGTTGATGGTGTGCGTACTAGTGGCCGAAGACGAGGAGCGGTCACCTTGCGCACTACTGTACACAGATTAGGCAACCGAGAAATAGAAAGTTAAAAGTCCTTACCTTGACGACTGTGAATCTCGGTGAGCACCGTCAAAGCGGTCGACTGCAACCTGATCGTCTTCGTCTTCGACCTTCACCTCGTTATCAGCCTGGCCAGGTCGATCGTCCTCCGAACTGAACAAAGAGGATTCGCTTTGGGGAGAGCTGACCGGATAGAGAGTCAATGTCGTGGACCTACGAATATTCACTATATGGTGATGAACAGAAAAAAACGGTCGAAAACTTACCTTTCTCCAACGCTAGGAAGATTTGATTCGTCTCCTTCGGCCCTAGAACGAGACGGGAACGACTGGGCCATCGTTCGGTCGTGAGCGAAGTGATTGATCGTAGACAATAATTAATTGGTGCGATTGAGATTTCGTGATTGGAAAAAATACAGAGTCGCCAGCGACGAAGAAGTGAATCCAAGACTGTAAGATAGAAAAGAGCGGGTAAGAAAAGCGTAAAGGAAAAGAAAACGGAAATGGTACTGACCAGGCCATCTGTCTTTCATTTTTATACAAACCCTGCTTCGCCTAGTGGTCATTCGAGGACAAGGGACAAAGAGCTCTTTGATGCCAGGTGTTGATTTCTTGGATAAAGGGCAAGGGAGAAAGCAGCTGGAGAGTATAGCAAGCCAACAAAGCAGGATCTAGCGACATGTATGATTATGCATGATATGCACAACGTCTGTACGATGCGGCCATGTGATAGGGAGAAAGGAACGAGCAGACGCGTAGAGCGCTTGAGAAGGGTAAAATTGCGAGACTGATAGAGGCTGATTCAGAGCTATAGAAGAGTAAAAGCGGTTTGTCCTTCAAGAGAGATGTGGCTTAGCGGCTGAATGGAAGTACTTACTGGTCAACGTTGTCAAGCGTTATGTAAAGGTATAGTGAAAAACCATTTAGCGCCCTCAAACCCCTTCTTACTATTAGCGTTGGTCATTGACCGTCGAACGAACGTCTAATGCTCAACGTTAAACTCGCTTTCTTTGAGAAAGTGGCTGGGGCTATTTCCGTACTATGCGGTAAAGAGTCAAACGGTATTGCCATATCTCTTCATATGTTCAAGTTTCAACATCCACGACGCGTATGGTGTCGTTGCCGTCGCTTCCAGATATACCGGTGATTGACCAGTGAACTGTCGCTCAGCTGGACGATACGCACAATGCAAGCCTTCCTAAATCCTGGCATGATGGTTTCAATCCCTCGAGTACTTGGTACTAAGTATGTTGTACACTGAAAACCTATGCTTACGGTATGTATTGTCCATGGACTATTCAGCACACCGGAAACTTTCACAAGTTCATGGAGAAATTCCGAGCTGACAATTTTCTTGCCAACAGGAGAAAATCGGAGCATGCTTTCAAAGCGCGAGTGGATGAGGAAATGATTGTGCCCGGAGTCGGACATTTGACTCCGAACCCGAAGTCGTTGAATATTCGAGACAAAGGATATAAATGGAGCTGCAACAGCGGGTCTCCAGCTCAATCATCCTTACATGCTTTGAATTGCTTGCTTTGCCTAATCACGATGTCTACATATGAAGCGGTACTATCGAAAACTTTACCTAAACTGTCCATCCCAAAAAGACGTAACTTGAATCGAGGGAAAGCGTGTAGGAACTGTAGGTCAGTATAACTTATTCGACTATTGTGACTTCATGCTCATTACAATACCATACTCCATTCATCGCAGAATTCGCAAAAACGTTGGTATATCTGTCTCTAGATCTGTCATCTATAATACTAGACCTCTTTTTCTGAAAATATAGAAATGCGATGGACAATCTCCTTCGTGCTCTCAATGTCTCCGACGATCCAGAGGTGGCGTCGTGGTAGAGTGCGTCTACGAGAAAGTCTCACAAACCCGCAAACAGACCTTGCAAGAAACAATACAGAAACTAGAAGCTCGACTTTATCAGCTCGCTGGTTCAGTGGCCGAAGAAGATTCTGTTATCACTCAACGGTCGCCAACCTGTCATTTGAATTCACCTACGTTGACGTCTGATATAAGTTTGTCCAAAATTCCTGAGTCATTTGGTGCGCTGCAGTTATATTGATTTGAGTTTGTAATAAAAACAAACAGGCTCATATTCTGAGGATTCCTCCTTCGAGATTGAATCGCTAATCACGTCGTGTGGGAGCTGTACTTCTCCCTTGGTGAACTCAAGCGGGCAAGTCAGCTCTTTCAGAGATACTGTCTACGAGGTAAAATGTCATGATCTTTCCGAAAATCTGTAATCACCCAAGCTAACGACGCTTCCGATAGGAGCTGACGAGTGATCCAGAGATGAAATTGTGCGTTCACTATATTGAACTCTCAAGGGATATCTAATTAATCGCGTCACCTGTTTCTAGAATACAATCATTTCTGCCTCACGCCCAATCTTTTGGCTTCTTCCTCGACATTCCTCGATTCTGCGAGTCTGCTGCGCTCGCTCTTCCTCTAGGACACCATGACCGACCATTCCCCGGCTTACTCAGTACATTATATCTGCTAGGTTCCTTTCTATCAAAACCATCAAGGGATTTAGACACAGCTCTTTGTCGTGCCCTCCTTCATGTCGCCAATGCATTATCTTCTCCTCATCCGATGCATATCCTACATGGTATCCAAGCAGAAATTTTGTTGGCGGTTTACTTTTTTCATACCGGCCGTCTCATGGAAGGAAAATACCATATCAACTCGGCCGTATCTTTGACTCTATCCTCGGGATATCATAAGCTCGGGTCAGG